GGGGTTTCAGCACTAGGATTCTAAAAAAAAAAAAAAAAAAAAAAACCTTCTCTGAGGCATTTCCATCCACGCTTCCTCCCCCAAACCCCCAGGCCTGACAGCGGGAGAGGTGACTGTCAGCCCACAAGTCAGGGGTTGCATCCCCGTCTCTGAGCCTCAAATGCCTAAAACAAATGCCAGGACCCTGATAAGCTGGTCCAGGAACAAGTGTCCAAAAAGCAACAGAGAAAGTAAATAAACAAAGTCGTTTTTCTTTCCTATTTCCTGACCTTTTGAGGAAAATAACCTAAAGTGACAAAAGGGCCAGGTCAGGCCTGACACCGCTGAGTGGACACGGTCTGTACGAACCACACCAGCCTCTGCAACTGGGAACTCAGGCCCAGATGAGGTCACCTTTCCAGAGCATCAGGCCAGGTGAGGGGACCCAGTGGTGCCCGGTGCCTCGCAGGAGAGCCTGGGAAACTTCTGGCAGGCTCTCCTCCCCCCACCCCACCCCTGGGGCCTGCCAGTCAGCCACCAGCTAACTTCCAAAGCACTTGGAACCTGGAGAGCACTAAGTCCCCAGCCTGGCCCAGAAGGCAGCTGTTTAGCCAGGGTGTCCAGTAGTCACAGGACCCTAACAAAAGGGAGTGGCTTTCTCTGACCCCAGGGGAAGCTGCTCTCCCCGAACAGAACCCCCCCACAGCTGAATGCAGAGGCAGGAGGACCCCCGACTCCTTTCCCCCGATGCCTACTCCAGCCTTCTTCCTGTATCTCACTCTGTCTCCCTCCATGTCCAGACCACAGACTGGGCCAACCCTTTGGTTTTGCACACAAGGAAGCTGAGTCCCAGAGATGGAAAGCAACTTGCTTCAGATCACACAGCAAGCGAGTGGCCACAGCCCAGCAAGAGTCCCTCCCTTAGGTCCTCTGCTCCGCAGGGCTCCTTCATGTTTCCCTCCACCCTCCTGTGGCAAAAAAATCTCTCTACTTCCCAGTTCTTTCAGAGGCAGACACCCCCTCCTCCAAAGGGCTTAATGGGGGGAGAGGGGGGGGCTCTGTCCTGGCGCTAGAGGAGGGGCTTGCCTGATTCCAGGATTTACTGAGAAGCATCCTGCAGGGTGTGGGGACAATTCCCTGTGGCTTCAGCAGGTACCCATGCCTCAGTGGCGTTAAGAAGAGCCCAGCTGGGGTCCCCTGGCCGATGGAAAGTGGGGAGGTCGCTGGTCCCCGGCCCTGCGCCCTAGCTGCTTTTGGCGCGGTGAGAAGCCACCCCCAAGAGGCCCTGGCCTCTCTCCCGTGGTGCTGTTTTGGGGCAGCCTCCTTACGAACGAGCGCCAGGGGTGGGAACCTAAGGCCTGCGCTGGGGGCAGGGAGGGAAGGAGGCCCGGGCCGGGGAGCTGGAGGCGGAACGCGCGCCCGCCCATGTC